TTGTGTCCGACAGGTTTGTGCGGCGAACTTCGGAGACGTCTGCAGTGTGGTCGGCGGAGAGGCGACGGAGGAGCTGCTGGTACGTTCAGTTCAGGGGAGACGGCGGGGCAAGTTGTCACGCGGTTTAGTGGTTTAAAGTCAAACAAGTGCTTGTTTTCTCTAGCGGCAAGATATTAATGTATGTTTTTTTTGTTTGCTTCTGTATTCCATAGTAGTTTTTATGTTTTGCTTTGCTCAGCGTTGTAGGCTGTAAAGTGTGTGTCTGTAGAAACACACAGAAAGGGCCGTCTCAGGTGATGTTATGGGCTGTGTTGCTCTCTTCCGGCAGCTGCCGCGCTTCTTCCAGCTGTGCTCTGATAACGTGTGGGGCGTGAGGAAGGCCTGCGCCGAGTGCTTCATGACCGTCTCCTCGGCCTCGTCTCCAGACGTGCGGCGCAGCAAACTCTCGTCTCTGTTCATCAGTCTGATCAGCGACCCGTCGCGCTGGGTACGTCATCAAACACGCCGCCTTGCTTTATTTCCCACACATTACTCTGCGTTACTTTTTTTCCATTTCACTTTTCTAGATGACATGTGTGACCCTTGAGCACAAAACCAGTCATGAGGGTCACTTTTGTGATTAATGCATCAATGCATCATCTGAAAGCTGAATAAATAATCTTTCCATTGATGTACGGTTTGTTAGGATAGCACAATATTTGGAATCTGAGAATCTGAGGGTGCAAAAAAATCTAAATATTGAGAAAATCATCTTTAAAGTTGTTCAAATGAAGTTCTTAGCAATGCATATTACTAATCAAACATTAAGTTTTGATATATTTACAGTAGGACATTTACAAAATATCTTCATGGAACATGATCTTTACTTAATATCCTAATGATTTTTGGCATAAAAGAGAAATGTATAATTGTGACCCATACTATGTATTGTTGGCTATTGCTACAAATATCCCCCAGCGACTCAACACTGCTTTTGTGCTGCAGAGACACAATTAAATACTCAAATTAAATGTTAGTAATCAGAAAGTATATCAAATTAATTTAAATCATGAAATGTATACAGTTTAGCAAAAATCTAAACTTGATTTTGATCAAATGTTGGGTTTTTGATCTAATCTTAGATTAAAAAAATTATTTTGCTTATTTTTCCTATTTTATTTTTGCCAACTTCCACGTTTTTCGGTTACATTTTAGTGGTTAAATTAATCTTGTCTAATTAATAGAAACCCTGAAACTTATACAACTCAACAACAATGTAACAAAAGTTTAACAAATGTACATTTTTAGGGCCCTTTTGAAATCTTTTTCCCAAATTCCATTTTATTATTTGTCTTAAGTTTTATGTTTTGATTTTTGATGTTCCACTTTAATGATGTAATTGAATTTAAAAAATCAATAGAATGTTTAATCAGTTGGGTTTTTATTAATTTAATATTTTAATAACGATTTATTACAGTTTTAGGGCCCTGTAAAATATGAAGTTGAATTTTATTTCATCAGAAATTGTCCATTTTAGTTTTTCTGTATTTTGATTTTATACAAATTTATTATCAAATGGTGGTAATCAACAGTTTAATGAATCCTTTAAAATGTGATCAAAAATAAAATTTAAGTTTCCTTTTTTTATTTTTATAATATTATTACTTTGAGAAGTACTTCTACTGTTAAACCAAACCTTTATTTTGTAGGATTGTAGCACAGATTTTGTGTGTATCTGACGGTATTTTCTGAAATGAACAGTATGTATTAGCTTCTGAGCGGATGCTGTGATTCGCGCTCCGCTGGATTGGTGTAGAGCGGATGTTACTGAGGTGTGCTGTGCTCACAGGTGCGTCAGGCTGCGTTTCAGTCGCTCGGTCCGTTCATCTCCACCTTCGCCAGCCCCAGCAGTAACACGGCTCAGTGCTTCAGAGACGAGGCCGAGGCCGAGAGGAGCGGATCACAGACACACAGCAGTAACACGGCTCAGTGCTTCAGAGACGAGGCCGGGGCCGAGAGGAGCGGATCACAGACACACAGCAGTAACACGGCTCAGTGCTTCAGAGACGAGGCCGAGGCCGAGAGGAGCGGATCACAGACACACAGGTGAGACGTGACGAGCTCAGAGCAACGCACATTATTCCCTTTACACACAGCACACAGTTTGCTGAGCGCAGCATCACAGTCGGTATGGTAACACTTTAGAATAGGGACCAATTCTCACTATTAATTAGTTGCTCATTAGCATGACTATTGTTAACATATTAGCTGTTTATAAGAGTCAATTTTGTGAAATTGAGATGTATGCATCATCTGAAAGCTGAATAAATAATCTTTCCATTGATGTATGGTTTGTTAGGATAGCACAATATTTGAAAATCTGGAATCTGAGGGTGCAACAAAATCTAAATATTGAGAAAATCATCTTTTCAAAAGAAAGAAATGATACAATACAAAAGAAGAATACAAACTACAAAAGAAACAATGTACGTTACATTATTACACATGCCTGTAAAGGGCGCCAAAGGCCTGGTAACTGCTGCTGCTGCACTTACAGAACGATCAAATCCTTGTTTAATACTCGCCAAACATTTCATTCAAATATCCACTGTCATTTTTGGCCACCTTTTTGTGATAGAAATACTACAGCCAGCTATATAATTTCTTCAACGAAACATGTGGACGTCACAACCCTCACCAAAATCAACCACGGTTTTATCGTAGTAAAACTGCTTGGTTATCTTTTGTGTGATTTCTGAATGCTTGAGACTGTAAAATCAATCAGACAACTGTATTCATAAAATCATAGCCATAGATGCAAACTCCTCAGCTGTCGGTGATAACTCACTTTTTTGAGATCATAATAGGTCACCTGTGAGACTGTAGTTTTGATATTTGGTGACTGAGTTTTGAAATATTTCACAGAGCAACTGTAATTTATTAATATGCAAGAAGAGTACTCATCAGCGTCAGAGAGTGCGTTCTGACCTTTTCTTTGAAATAGCGATGCACATATGAAATCATGAAAAACCTCATTTTCATAGAGAGTGTTCAAAAGATAACATCCAGTCTATTTTTTGGTTAAAAAAGGTCTAAAAGGGTTTTGAATATATAGAAAAAACAATAGATTCTAAAATTGGTGCATCGTGAACTATAACGCAAGTCCAGGGTTCTCGTAGCATGTCTTTTATGTGTTTTTTTGAGGTTTAATTAAAATCAAATACTCCTGAATGTGATGTCTACTTCATAAATATTGAGAAAAGTATTGAAAAACATGTTTTAGATCACTCAAACCGCATATGGAAATGAAGGCGCCCTTAAATGGTTACTAATGGGGTGTGATGGCCATCTAGTGGCAACGCTTGGTACTGCGTCCAAACAATCTCACTGAAAGCTCATTTTTTGAGATATCAACCTCAAATTTGAAAACACAACTTGTTCAGAATTTTGGTTTTAATTTTCTAGCAGTTTTAGAGTAAAACGCGTTAAATATAAATATTTAAATGATTACATTTTATATTTTCATAAACTTAAACTTCCATAACTTTTTTGCTATATAATCTTTATAACTTTTTTCACTTCTACAATAATCTGCCAAGTGTCGTCTTTAAATGGAGACGAACCTTAAGTCAAAATTTATTACGTTTAAGTTGGAAATGTAATTTTCAGGTTTATGCTCTAAAAGTGGAACCGACAGTTAACAGGTTAAAGCTCTATATCCCCTATAGTAGGTGCTTTTTTACTTCCATAATATTTGAGTGAGGGCACAACAACACATTTGTCCAGCAGCGGCCCTGCTAACGAACATGTCTCGCTCGTCTGTTTGACTCTGCAGCACAAACACAGACGCCGTCTGTCCGCCGCGGGGCTCCCGTGAGGAAGAGGAGGGCGGAGGAGAGCAGACGGTCGAGAAGTGCCTTCCTGAGGAGACGCAGCCTTCATCCCATCCTCCAGCGCAGGAGATCCCGGAGCAGGAGCTCTTCAACTCCTTCCACTACTGGAGGACCCCCATCCCTCAGATCCAGCTGGAGCTGCTGCAGGAGGAGGACAGGCGGCCCTCGGCCCCGGCGCTGGGCAGAACACAGCTGCAGGAGCTCATCGAGAACCTGGAGCCGCATACCGACGACCCCGACGTCAAAGGTGAGCGCTGTGATGCACTGAGATTAAACAAACTTTGGCTTAACGAAATCTTTCCGTTGTTTTGGTGAAGATCTAATCAATCAATTAAGAATCAGCTCTCAAATAAACACCCAACTCTTAAGTTACAGTCAAACCAAAAATTATTCAGACAGCAGATTAATTTTTGATATTTATTTACTAGTGTGTGCAGGACACTGTAGTTCATTTATGTAAGTGAGGAGAGCAAAATAAAGTGAGCTGTGACATATTATACCCAAAAATTCTCCGGATCAAAAATGATTCAGACACTTTGAGCCGAGCATGTTTTGCTGAAGTGTTTTTCTTTAATTGCTAATGTGATCTTTTTACTCCACAGACTGAACTAAAGGAAGCACTGCTTGGTAATTAGTTGAGCTAAATTGGTTTGATCTGATTGTGTATTAAATGTAACAGCTGACAGCTATTCAACAGAATTCATTACATACCTTTCTATCAAAGTTATCTGACATTATCAAGATGAGTTTGTTCTGACACGCTTTAACTCTGAGCTCTTCTCATATTTTATTACCGTTTTCTAAACTACAGCCAATAAACTGTGATATAATGTGAGAAATGCTGAAGGTGAAGATTTTTTTTTTTTTTTTTTACACATCTTGAATTATCAGCTCATATAACTGTGTTCTGATAGACTGCATCACGATCATCAGCATCAGTGTGAGATGACAGACAGCTCTGAACGAGGGAAATGTTCTAATCTCGTTATTATTTTTGGATTTGAGACTTTAGTCTTTGCAACTTTACAGATCTTCTTTATGCACCAAGAGCTTGTAACACTCCAAAGAGAAAGGAACAATTGAAATCGCATCATATGACCCCTTTAATAATTGCATCTAGTTAACATGTTAAATGGAGAGGCCTGATATAGGACAGTGTTTAATAAGAGTGTGTGCTGTGTCCAGCACAAGTGGACGTCCTGACAGCTGCTCTGAGAGCCACGGCGCTGGACTCTGGACTGGAAGATGCTTTCCTGGAGCCTCGAGCCGCTCGATCAAACCCCTTCAGCTCCCAGCAGCCCTCAGAACACCTGTCAGCCGACACACAGGTGAACACTCACACTCACTCTCTCACACACACACACTCACTCACGCGCACACTCGCGCACACTCACACACTCACTCGCGCACACACGCACACTCACTCACACACACACACACACTCACACACTCGCACACACTCTCACACACTCACTCGCACACACTCTCACACACACACACACACACTCTCACACTCACATGCGCGCACGCGCACACACTCTCACACTCACATGCGCGCACGCGCACACACTCTCACGCTCGCTCGCTCGCACGCGCACACACACAAACACTCTCACACACAAACACTCTCTCACACACACACTCGCACACTCTCACACACTCACTCGCACACACTCTCACACACACACACACACACTCTCACACTCACATGCGCGCACGCGCACACACTCTCACACTCACATGCGCGCACGCGCACACACTCTCACACTCACATGCGCGCACGCGCACACACTCTCACGCTCGCTCGCTCGCACGCGCACACACACAAACACTCTCACACACAAACACTCTCTCACACACACACTCGCACACTCTCACACACTCACTCGCACACACTCGCACACACACACACACACACACTCACTCACTCACAC